TTTCGTTTAAGTGATTTAAAACACAACTTGATCACTATCCCATTTAACGTTATTATGCGCAACTCAAATTGCTTAAATAAAGCAATCTTTAATCAGCAAAACAAAATCCCCAGACCTACACATTAATTCTTTCAGGGAAAAAAAAAAATAAAAGCAATGCAAATATTAATGTTGCCCAAAAATATTGTATTTTGCATTTAGATTTCCCTTCTTTTGAAACGTAAAGCATTGTGTTTGTAATATTGAAGCAGCGGGCAGTTGTGCCCTTGACTCGAGGGCATGTCATATACTGCTCTTGTTCGCTGTAAAACTATCAGACTGGCAGTAGTGACAGATGAACGGCTTACAATTAACTTCTTCAATTCATGCCTTCAATCCAAATGGTCTGTATTCTCCACAGGGAGTCTTGAAGGTCTTTGCTTTTATTTCACTTGCATACTCGCACTGACTTATAAATCAAGCTCAGATAAGAAGCGAGGGCAAAACATCAATCTTTTTTTCTGGTCAGTGCCCATTGGCACACTACTGAGTTTTGACTGAAAGGTTCTGCAAACCTTCATGTGATTCACAAGCGAGGCTGCTCTCTGGGACTAGGAAACAACAAAGGACGTTGTGAGAGATAGGCTTGTAAATTAGAAACCTCACCTCCGTAGTTTTATAAAAATAACCCTTAAATAAATATACCAATCCAAACTGTATCACTGAACAATTAAATACATTATTTCACGAATTCTTTAAGAAGTCCCGATCTTTTGGCAGACCCTTAAACCGTGTTTTTAAAAAAGTCAGTATGCTCTTAAAATCCAAATAAAACATCAGTGTTTAATATATTTCTGAATCTTGAAGTCAAGGGAATAATGAGTAAATATTAAGGATCCTGGCATAAAACCATTAAATAAATAACACACATTAGACATACTAGACTGTCTTTTAATACATAATATCTAGCTTTAAATAAGTATTTATTTTTGTTTTTTTGTTAAAATTGGAATAGAATCACATGACATTTAATGGGGATTTTGTTTTTACTTGTTATTGACATTTCTTAAACATTATATAATTCAGCCATGGTTCTTCCCTACTTGACTTGGGCCGAGGCAAACATCATTGGTATATGTATTTGTTTAATTAACCAAAATAACCAATTAGTTTTAATTAATTGACAAAATGGTAAGATCAATTTTAATAACGACACTTCTTAAAAAAAATAAAAATAAGAAAAACAACACACACAAAAAACCTCCCAACACATTTTAAGGTTCTTCTAGCCATGAAGTCAATGGGGAGAGATTTATCAAAGTGTAACGTGGGGGGAGTTACCACTGGTATCCATGGTGATTGATTTTGGGCAGTCCTGCATGGTGTTACATTCATCATAATGTATCTGAGTTGTGAACATACATGAATGTGCCATGTAATGTAGAGTTTTGGGATATACTATCTGGTTTGATAAAATAATGTCACTATTTATGAAGCAGATGTTAAAAAAAACAGCAGGAGCATTACTAGCAAAGGTGAAGCTTATATACATTATTTGGATTTATTGCATAATTGTCAAAGAGATATTTCAAAGAAGCAAACATTATAAGTGCCTAATCGCTAACTTCAACATTTTGAGATAGATGAATAAATTAGACTGTTGGGTGAGTTCATAGCTGATAGCTCAACCCATGCTTAATGTGTCTCCTCCTATGTTTCTTCTGGTTCTGCTAATATTTGGCTTAACATTATACTTTTTTAATGCAGAGAGCCAGTTCCCTTTGCAGCAATAGAAGAAGTAATGGTCCATAGAAATAAATGTATACTTGCAACACTTCCAAGTGTAATGACATAGTGAATCTAAAAAACATTGCAGATTAAATGGTGTTAGAATGGATGCAACTGCAAAAATATAAATATCTTATTAAATGTATCTTAACGTAAAAAAACAGACATCAATGCTTCCCTGTTTGATGTCATATTCTCTAAAGTAATAAGCAGCTACGAAAATTCAAGAATTTATTTTAGTTAGTGAATGTTGTTAATGAATTGTATTTTATAAAGAGTTATGGGCCGAGGAGAAAAAAAAAAAAAATAACGATAGATCAATGAATAAATAAATAGATCTTTAACCCTAATGTTTTTTTTTTTTTTAAAAGCATATTTTTGGATACATTTAAAAAAAGATAGATGTACACACTCTGAATTAAATCTGATGTATTTGTTTCCAATGTTTAACCTACATATTTAGATCACTTTACTTGTCACAAAAAATAAACCATTAGATTTGATGACAATTTAAAGTATTCCATTCCTTACCCAAAGCATGAAGTTCTTGAGCTGTTAACAGCTTTTTAAAAGGTCTATCTTCACAATTGCCTGCTGGCCATTTGCAGGTGATGTATCTAGGGGATCCAGGCCATTTTTATTTTTCTCTCCTTTTCTTTCCCCCCCTGAATGCTGCAGGCTGTGTTCATAAATTACAGCTGATGACAAAAGTGGAAGCTTAACAGTAGCAAAATTAGACCCAAAGGCAAAATAATTATATATACAGCCCTTAGCAGAGAGGGAGAGAGCCATCAATCAGTCCCCAATTATTCAGTAGTTAATCAGCTCTGCCCTTATTTCATTGAAGGGTTACAGTGTAATTAAGTTGGCAGCATCCTTTTAATACATCAAACATATAGCACATGGTGGTGTTTGCCTCAATCAGGGGACATCACCTTTGTGCCTCTGACCTAAGCTCTGATATAAGAATCAGCGAAGAAAGCTAACTTCAGAGAGAAGAAAGTGACTATTTATGCATGCACACGCTACAGAGAATGTAATTTGGAGTGTCTAGCACAGCTTCAACACAGCTTAAGCAGGCTAATATTCTGCATAATTTCTCAAGATAGAATTCTCGACTGATCGCTGGGCGTATTTTATTTTTTTTTGCACTATAGGGTTATGTGAGCAGTTAAATCAATAAGGGGCAGGAAGCACAAGAACTTTATTTAATTTTCATCTTATTTTACATTTTTAAGTGCCATTTCCAAGAGGCATGAATAGCATTTTTATGTTCTGTCAGCAGAGTTGACTAATGAGAGCAGGAAGGCTACCAAAAAATATACACTAATTTGTCAAATTGTTACATTGGCATACAAATGACACTTGCTGGCAGGTTTTTCTCTTGGAAAACGTGAAAGGGGCGTGAAGTAGCCAGCTTTTCTACATTTCATAGAGGCAGAAGTTTGATAAATAGGTCTATTAAATGTCAGCTATTAATAGCCAGTAGCGGAGAACTGGTTATATTGAAAACAATGGAAAATGAACACAAAAAAAAAGATAAAATTTAGGATATTGGGTACTAACTATCAAGATAAAAACAGTAAGAAAACTAGAATGTATACAAGACACAAATAATTCAAGAAATTCTTTTATATTTTGAACTACAATTAGACATGACAAAAGTACATACAATCATGCCATGTAAGTAAACATATTGGAAATTTCTAATGATGATTAAACATATAAAAAATGTAAAACAGAAGTGGTTAACATTAGCTGTTTCTGAGGCTATATTTCCCATAATTTTCTGCAAGATGTAGGTCATTAGCTAGCAGAAGATTAGTAGAATGTCCAACCTTCCAACATTGGTGTCCCTAGAAGCAGGACACCGATGGGAAGAGTAAAAGGGGACAGGCCAGTGATGTGAACAGGCACAACCCAAATGTGTGGACCTGCCCAGATAGGGAGAATATTCACTGGGAGATAAGGCCGAATGCACACCAGACTGCCTGCCAACCACACAAACTGGAAAACTAAGGGCACACCATGCAGAGAGGGCTGTTTCAGAAGTATCTGCATAGTCCTTGTGCCTCTGGCATAGTATAAATCTGTCCAATGGTGTGTTTGTACTACACTCTCCGGAGACAGTTGCCTGGTGTCTGCAAAAGTGAGACAAATGTTGGACAGCAGGGAACAAAGATGGAATGGAGGAATAAACCCTGAAATAGTGATTGTCCCATGGATCTTGGGAGGCCTGGAATGTTGTCCTACAATAGTTGGAGGCCCAAGATTGGACATCCATGACTCATCATATCGATGAGAACCTTGCCTATTACCACCAGTAAGGTTCACTATAAGTAAGACAAATCTGTTCATGCAAATTTGTCTTCTGGAGGGCACATATGAACTAACACAATGGGCATGATCTAGGAAAAGAGCAATTCTGAATTCTAAACACTGGAGTGTTATGATTCATTTTGTTTGTTTTTTGTTTCAATGGACAGCAATGAATGTTAATCTAGGCATTGACCACTTGATCAGAGCGATGTGAAAAAGAATTCCAGCATGTACTCGTCAAAACGTTGATTTTGCTCATTAGCCTGCAGGTTAGGCTCTTATTAAGGTAATAGGGGCAGACTAAATAGAGTAAATACAACAAAACAGACTGCCCTGTTACATTTATTGGAACCTGGACTGCGGTGTTTTAATATGATGATGTTCGGAAACGTCTTTGCACAGCCCTACTACCAGTGCCTGCAAAAATGTAAATTTTACCTCACTGAGAAAACACGAAAGGAAAAGAAAATTAAAATTAGCAGTTTACAGTGCATACAGAATTAGCCTGGAATTTAAGACCCATACTGTTCTTGTAGTGTGAAAAATGTTCTCTAGTGTCCTTACGTGAACTTTTTTCCAGCTCCGTTCACCACCTGCAGTCCATGATTTTATATAGGCCAATATATTTTATAAGTTAACAATGTGTTAGGATATTTTTGCACAGCTCTGCTTGAGGGTATGACAGTTGAATGAGCTTTTTCTATAATAGTGCAGGTAAGTTAAAGTATATGTGAGTGGTTTCAGGGTGGGTATCATGTCAAAAGACAAAATATTAAACTTTCGGGGGCGGAGGCTGGCCGTAGAGCGGATCAGATGTGTGCAGCACGAGCTCCCGTCTGAATTGCCAATCTACACCAAAAATAACCCGGTATACAAACTACAAACTCCATAAAACTGCATCACCTGAGTAGGGAATGCACAGGAGTTCGCAACGGCACCACGCATATGACTCTGAGCCATCGAAAACATTAGAAATACAGCTGAGGCCTACTGCAACGATAAATGCTCGGTCCTGCGGCCTAGGTAGAGACAAAGGCGAGGGAGAGGCGGCCGATCGCCCAACCCAAGACTCCCTGGAAGCAGACCCTAAAGAAGCAGAGGACCGCCCTCGAGCCTTTCTCTCCCCCCCCCCGCCGGTGAGGGATGTCCCGACACCAACGGCTTACCTGCTGCAGACACCGCATGCCCCAGAGACTGATCACCCATGGACCTGTCACTCCAAAATGGCGGATGCCAAGTTCCAGTCGACAGGCGTGGGGACCAGTGGAGATCCAGCGACGCAAACTATGAAAAAACTCGACGAACTATTTGCTGCCTTCTGGGCTCGGATAACAGAGAGGAAGCTGAAATCCGCACCAACTAAACAGACCTCTCCTGTAAGTGCAGCCCCGGCGGCCTCTAACTCTAAATCCAGATGCAGAGTGATAACCGTCAGCGCCTCCCCAAGGGGGCACGGACGGCATAACTGGCGGCGCAAGCGGCGACGAAGAGCCTGCTCACCGCCCAGCATCCACCTCCACTTTAAGCCATCACAATTCCGGACGGGTCCAGAAGCAATCAGCCCACCGGGGAAACACTGACCCCCCGAAACGCAAATTACTACCACCAACAACCTGAGTCCTGGCTCCAGTCCCCGTCTATGTTATGGACACCGCAGGAGATGGCGACTCATAGGGGCTGTGCCAGGCGTCCAGAGGGGATCGGTTGAGAAGGACTACGAGACTGGAACCTGCCGGGTATAACCCGCTGTGGCTGGACTCCTCCATTACGCCTTCAAACACATGGACTGTTACCGGACTTCAGACTTAAAAACAGTGATGATTACTTACCTGTTCTTAATTCACACTCAGCGAAGTGACAACTAAGTCTTAGCTTCTTAACTAAAATAATCTACTGGGGCAACCTAAACCTAAATCTAAACCTATATAAAATTCAAAAGGAGGCCTTTGGTTTACACGCATGTAATCCCACTTGAAGGTACAAATCTATAGATACTCTCCCATGCATAGATGAGAATGGAAGCCTGTTGTAACTCATTAAATGATTCTAACTACCTAACATAAATATATCCAGCAGTGTTGAGCATTATCTGTTCCCACTTGTTTTATGTACCTTCAACCTGATGTTTAAGCTATCTCATATTAGAGATTTAAAGCAACGTTCACAGATATTGCTGCATATGAGTATAACTAATCTTAAGCGTGACAATGTTGGCAATATCAGAATCGCTAGTTTAAAACGTATCTCATATTCTGACATAACCTTTTACAGAACCAGCTTGATATTATTATTAAAAAATGTGCTGTCAATCGCATGCCATGTTAAACCCAATGTTCCCAATTAGCTTGCCAATGCTGTCCTGGCATCGCAAGAAAACTGTTACCTGTATTTACATGCACAAGAAAAATAAAGAATTAAAAAAATATATATATGTTAAACTGTCATGACTTAAAATGCATATACTTTTTTAATGCACATGGCCCTTTTTGTGCTTTTTAATGTATTTGTGGAATCCAAATTTTCTACTGCTCGGCTCAATGGTTAGATGAATGAATGCTGAAAGTTCACTCACAAATCATGTGCATTGACACAATTTCACTAAACTAGGGTTTCATAGGAAAAGCAACTTCATTTTCATTAAAAATATTTTCAGAAGTATGCCAGCTCACTTTAAGTGGGCAGTTTCACAAAAAACTAAAATGTGATATTTCAAACATTAGCAAAGTAAACAAGCATCAAAAAAAAAAATCAACAAAAAAGCCATGTGTGAACATAGGGTAGGGAATAAGGTCTTCAGCCATTCCATCCCATTATCAGTGATCCCCATGTCCGCCCACCTATCCATATTGCTTATCATCATTTCATGTCAATAATTATAAACCACATTTATGGCAGTCACAAATAGATGTACTCATGTAAGATTATCTAACAGGGTTCTTCACAAACCTACACATTTTTTGTGAATTTAATCCAAATTATAAAATTGAGGCTCACGTAACCAAATTTTGACTAGACGCAAGTTGGAGAATTTCTCGAGACCAGCTATTTCAGCCTCTGTCTTGCGATTTGGACTAAAATTCTAAAATTTGGAATTTCGTGAATTGCCATGCTAGTGTGACTGTTATTGACCCATGTGCATTGGAATACTCGTGTCGCGGCAGAACTTCTGAGACATCTCTTTGACTGACGGCCCACTGCAGCATGTACTCTTTAATGAAAGCTGCGTGTGTGCACAATAACGAGGCAGAGGCAGGGCTTACCCTATGACTTGCCAAGGCCAGATTACACCTCCTGTAGCTAGGCAATACACCATACTCAGTCCATCAAAACAATAAAATGGTGACCCATATCTCTGTACAGTGCACAGGAAGCACATTACTAAGACTTGCCCTTTGGACAGAAATAGAAGGCTTAAGAACAAAACCACTTATTAATTAAAATAAAAATTAAAAAAAAAAAAACGTATTCTACATAACTAACTGTAACCCAAACTGCACATTGCACATACTATATGTGGGTACCTGTAGTGCATCTTTAGCTATAATTAGTTTAATATTATAGGAAACTAGCTTAATATCGTATGCACTAATACAGGCCCTAATAATTCATCCCGCGCTTATTAACCTCTGATTATTTCACCTATAATGTATTAGATTGTGACAGAGTAAGAATCCTCAATGTCACACATTTAGACATAAGAGAATAAATAGTTGCAGCGCACTCAGACTACAAAAAAATATAATACAAAGAAGGCTACTAAAATGCCTATCTGAGAATAAATATGGGGATTTGGTTCCATCATATGGCCATATGTTGTTAAGCCCACCACTACTTTCAAAGTACCCCAATATTGGTGGGTCCTACGCTAAAAATGTGGGGGACAAATTAAATAGTACTAGTGTTAAAATAACAAGTGTTAACGGAAATCCTGATAAGAGCATAGTGAGTATACAAAAATAAGTGATGAAAGCAATTAAAAACAGTGTTAAAACTAAACAAATAATGTGTTAGTGCTAAAATGAGTATACTCACTATTGCAGATGATATCTGTGCTGACTAGAGAAAATAATAAAAGTGACTTGACTATTGAGAAACTCCTCCTATATAAACACACCTGTGGCCACCTCTAAAGGAGCCTCTGAAGCTGGGGAACTAAATCCCTATATTTATTCTCAGATAGGCATTTTAGTAGCCTTCTTTGTATTATATTTTTTGGTAGTCTGAGTGCGCTGCAACTATTTATTCTCTTATGTATGACGTTTTGTCACTGCGGCAGCACCTTTCATGCAAAATGCAGGTCCCGGGAGTGCCCCCTATCCTTTTTCTGTCACACATTTAGATCAAAAAAAGGGTGGAGATCAATTTGATAGGGCTTAGGAAAGGCTCTGTCTCCTGAGCCATTTCATAAAATATATTATGGCTCCCATAAGGACCAAGCAGATGCCCATGCTCCTGGGACCTTTGATAAAAACATCTTATGGGAAAGTCTAAAATTAATTGAGAATTCTAAGCCAACCAATCACAGGTAAGGCCTTACCTGATTTGACAATGGGTATATTTATTGTAAATCCCACCTGGAATTGATATTGTAGCCCATCAAATGCTATTCAATGTGTTCTACCACTGACAAAGTACCCCACTAAAAAGTAACTGCAGCACGTCACTTGCTCCCTTTCCTAATGTCCATGGGCATTGCTAAATAAAAAGGAATAAATGTGGTAGGCAAGGTATATGTGATGGCCCATCTTAAACTTATTGACTTAAAGCCACACTGTTACCCCAACCTGAGTAATGAGTATTTCATTTCAATACCCATATTGACTGTGTTGGAATGTCCAACCCAATCAAGTGATATACTGAGATGAAGGGACTGCTTTGTCTCAGTATTTCTCCTACACGTGAATATTACTAAAATTAGACCCAGGATTTTTCATGACTCCAGTTGGGTTTGCAGCTCCTGTCAGCCCTTCCTAGCAACACTCCTACCACTTAAACAACAAAAAATAGAAACAGGTGGATTCTATGTTGGATAACAGTAGGACATCGCTATGGAATCTGATGGCGCTATATAAATAATAAAATAATAATAATAATAATTATCTTTTGACTAACATTCAAAATCATTTCTGGTAATGTAGAACAGGCTCTTTGTATACACAATTATTTTTTAGTATCCCTTTGCAATCTAAAGTCATGTAGATACACGCTTCCTAACATGATAAAATAAAATAAATCTAATCCTTAACTCTAGTTATATGGTTCACATTCTGACTCGTCACTGAAAATTATTTATGTATTATCTTAGCTCACAATGTACAGGAGCCTACAAGGCTCAATGACAACAGACACATAAATAACCCGTCAATTGCATTTTCCAGATACGACATTATCCCACATAAATACAGATTATTTATGTTCTGCTGAATTGTGGGACTCTGCCATTCCCTAAACACCAGCACATTTTTTGCAAACTCCCATACTTTGCGTAAAATCGCTATTCTTCCTTTTTTTTAAAAATCACTCCCGCTAAATGTTATACAATTGATATTTTCCTTATTATTATTTTATTATTTTTCTGAACATGTCAGAAGCATTGCAATAAGGACAGTGATATAATGCAAAAATGTATCGTTTTCGCACCTCAGTATTTCTGGAAAGAAAGAATAAGAAAAAAAAAGGAAAATCAAAATGTTCCTAATTTTAATGAATGTATAATCACTACCTAGAAATATATGCTTTTTAAAAAAATAATTATATTGTCACCTGTGAGATATGAATCACAGAATGTCTAGTTTTTATACTGAAGTATTTTGCAAATGAGATTTTATATCCGCGGGTTAAATTTAGTTTTTTGTACATCTTTCAATATTTTGTATAGACTATAAAAGCATATTCAATAGCTCTGTGTAAAACGCTTACAGAAAAGAATTACATAAAATAAAATAAAAATATTTGTAAAATGAAACTATATTTCAGCTCTGTAAATATATTTCAGCTCTGTAAAATGGCTAATTAAAACAACAAATTAATTTGTGTGTTGGGGAAGAAGAGGTGGCGAGGGCTTTGCTAAGATAATAAGCTGAGCCTAATACGAATGGCGATACAGAAAGTGTTATATTTCACAAAAGATTTACATTTTCAAATGATTTAGTCACATTTATTAATCTTTTATTATGTATGTTTTGTAAATAAGGATTATTTGAGATATGTTGTACAATAAGCGTTTTTATTATAGGTGTAATTTCCCTTCTATAATAAAGACTCACTTTATTTTAAAGGAAAGAAATACATTTCTGTTCTTGTCAGCTGCGAGATGAGAAATGATTGGCAGGCAGGACCGAAACATTGCCAGAAAACAAGTTTGCAGTTCATAAAACACACAGAGATTTTACCATGCTCAAGGTCACACATTAAAAGAAGGCTGTATATTTGGGGCAATGAGAGCAATACTGTCAGATATTGAAATCTCAGCAGGAGATTGGACTCCATTAAAACTGAATACAAATTATCTTCAGTCTGCTACTTTCTGTGCATTTATAAATACATTTTATCATCTCCCAACTGCTCAAAAGGTACCAGC